TAGTTTACCTACTATTGAGATCGAATTATTTTTTGGCTAAGCCTCATTCCTCGCAGATTTTAACGTCCTTATCCACCCTATCTATTTTAACTGTGATAAAGATGAACCTTGAAGGGTGGACAGCCGAAACGGATTCTTAGTGAAATGGATGGAAAATGAAAAACGGGACGGCATACAGAAGGACACGGTTGAAAATCGGGCATTTAACGGACGAAATAGCTACCTAGCGTTTTTTCTTCGGTTCCGGCACACAAATTTTGCCATAAATAACAGATAATTCGACTGTGTCCTCACATAGCTTCGACTACACAGCTCATTCGCATACATAGTTACGTGAAATGAGATTAAATAAACGATGAAAAATCTTCTTTTTAAACCATCAGACACAACTGCAAATCATTCTTACATGACAAATTCCAGCCCTCGTTGCAGTTGTTACTGCTCCATTGAAATGTTTAAGTAGATAATGGAGACTGACGTATTCTAATCCTGTGAAAGGCAATTCTGTCTGCATTTCGTCTGGCTAGAACTCGATGGAACTGCAATAACTTACTTGGGCCTCGTGTGCCTCTTCACGTTCCTTCGTCAGCAATAACTCCTCCTCTGCTTCTTTCATTTTAAGTTGTTCAGCCAGTTCCTCGGATCGAGCGAGAACCGCGTGCAATTTCACCTCACTCGAACGAATCTGATCGTCCCGTACACGGACTTGTTCCTTGAGCTCAGCCTGATCATATTGAAGTGAAGAGATTGTGTCCAAAAACTGCAAAAGATGTGAATTGCAGGTAGGGCGTGAGAAGAAAAAGGGAAAACACTTACACCTGATTCACAAAAGTTTTGCTCTCACTTGATCATTCAGGTCTCGATTAAGGCAGCAAAACCCGGATTAGTTATTCTTATTCAGTCGTTGACCAGAATTGACAGACCCTAATAGTGTGGAGCGAACCCAAATGGACTATTAATCATCTTTTCGGTCAGCCTCCACAATTATTGACAATTCCACTGCTTCAAAGGCCTCATCCTTCAATTAGGACGCGTCTATGGGAGGAGTTGAACGCAACACATCCGTTTATTTGAGCAGAATAGCCAGTATTTTTAGATTGCACAATTAATATCCATAACTATTTCACCTCATCTCCAACAATGTTGCAATCATACAACATCGTATATGCGAAATTAAATTTTCGGTAATGAAAAAAACGCGGAAAACAAGAAATGACGTAAGGGTATTTCTATTGTCAATCGATGAATTGCATCCCCTTAGGTGTATCTTAACGGATTTACACTTTATTTTGCGAGAATCATTTAGAACGCTTTGTTTCGATTATCCTTACGTTTTATTGCCAACAGGTGCCCGGATACGACAATATCGAAACTGGTAGAGAGTTGTAAGCATGGTTGTTGTCAGTAAGCGGTACGATGGTACTCGATTGCATTATCCGATATTGAAGTTAGTATTTGATCTGATGGGCACAACCCCACTGCTATTGACAATGGTCGTACATACCCGGCCCTATCATCTTCGACCATGCAACATCTATTACCAACAAGGCATCTAGTTTATCGCAGCACGAAATTCAGAATATAATTAACAAGGATTGTTTTATTGATTTGTTATGGTCGAGCGGTATGAGCCATCAGTACGTTCTCTAGTACTTCTCGTGTTTGTTTGGCATCCTTACCTAAAAATTGTGATTGCACTACTTCTCCTCTTAGATATCGATTGTTGTATGTCAAATGAATCGATGGGACGACTGGAAATCGATGAATTACCTCACATCGCTCCAGGTCATGCGTTGTCAGCTTTTGCTGCAATTCTTTGATCCTTTCTGCATCCTGATCGAACAGCTTCTCATTCTCGCGTATACGCTCAGTCTGTTGAGCATTCGTGGCAATCGCATCGTCAAACTGCTTTCGTAGTTGTTCTACCTGTGAGAACCGGGATAAAACGAACGGATGTAATTGACCAATGCCTAGGTAACATCACACATACTTCTTTTTATAACAATTCAAACGATGCACAATTCACATATACCCCTTTAGTTCCTACTGGTGGAAGCTGTTGCTACGCGATTCGTATATATGGTACTTTGTTAATTGTTGATCGAATATACGCGCCCCGAGATCAATAGCGATATCAGAAGATAGTCGGAACGTCTCAGATTATTGTCTTTAGTGGTTCTGTAACGATACATTAACTTGCGGTATGGTGAACAACATGGTTTAAATTGAAAGGAAACGTACATTCGAAGTAATTTGACCAGCAGTCCAACAAAGAGCACCACTATGTGGTGGTCAGAGCAAACAGTAAGCAAACCAAGATGTCCGGCCGCCAAGACAAAGATTACAGTCAACCAATAGGAAGGTAGGAAACAAGAGAGATTATCCGAGTAGNCTACTGACAACAGTCAATAGCAGCGACGAAACATGTACAGGATATCACAGAAGCGCCGTAAGAACAGGAGTATGAAGCTGAGTTTACGCTTCTAAAAGAAATAATGAAAGATTAAAAGACATCAGAAACACGTGTGAGTGAGAAAAACACAATAAGTGAATCGACCAATGACTGTTACCTAGAAAACGATAAGAATAAACGAGTTGTCTTGAATCGCAACATAACGAGATTTATTCATTCCGTACTGACAGCTTCTAAATTGAATGCCTCACGATTATTGAGTCATTATAGCACATATCTCAGTTTACCGGTTTCCCTGTGTCCTGACTGNNTTCAAACCAATGGGCTATGTAAAGCAATGCAACTGAATAAACCAGGCTTATCTGACCGATTAACAAGAAGACCATATTTTTGCTTGTTTAAGTTTGCAATAATAATTTACCTTGCTCGGTGTCTATGAATGGGCGTGAAAATGATGGCTAGCACTTCTCATATACACAGACACGTATCATTGTGGTCTTTATTTGAGCAACCGAGTAAGGGTAAATCGGAAACATTCTTTCCTTTTGATCCATTTGAACAAAACAATATGAGCAGAACTGCTATTGGTCATCAATTTCGCGTGCTCTCAATCAGCTGTCTACGCACATTAAATAGGTCACATTTTTATCATAAGAATACCATATATGAACATCTACATAATTACATGGGTTCAGGCAGAAAGCACTGGATTGTTGAGTCATCACCAAAGTAATTTGGGTATGGGTGAAAGAGAAATATAGAGAAATATTGCACACCTACCATTCCCAGACCAACGTACACGACGTTCGAAAAGAAACCAGTTTTCATTGGTGTACCATTTAAAGGAGACGATGTAATTGCACTGGTTGATCGTCGGTTTCGTACTACAGTTGAATTTACCTATCCTACCGCGAAGCTGATCATGATTCACAGAACAATGAACGCATTAATTCGGTCAAACATAGATTCAGTGATTCGGTCACCTCCAATTGCATTTATCTTCTCAGTGTTCGTGGTACGTCGGAAGGACTGAACGCCGGCTGTTGACCAGAATGAGTGAGCATGTTCCGAATAACTTATCATTTCGAGGAGGAAAACTTCCAGCAAGCGCAGTGGCACAACATTTGCTGGTTACCGGACACTGCATTGACAAACGCAAAGCTNTTTCCCCGTTGTGCTCAAAGTTCGAAGCCCAAGGATACTTAGGTTTGCTGAAGCGGTTGTCATTAGCCGTCCAATGCCTGACCTATGCATGCAAAAGGCCTTTGTGATGCAGTTGTTATTACCACGGTTTTTTCTCCTCCCCTTTATTTCCCATCATCTCAACCGTTCTCCTACGTCAGCGTTGATACTTCACCCTTCTTATTTTCTTATTGCGTAACTCTCTTTGACCTACTTAATTGAGAAACGTTTTCCTCCGTTAACTTTCTACGTCTGTTTGAATTCATTTCTGGTTGTATCTCTTTCGTATTACGTAACCATGTCCAACTCTTTCCACCATGGCTAATCGTTTTCCATTACGGTACTGTTTCTTTGCTAACATTCCCCTCCTCCTCTTTCACCC